TCCGCAGCACATTTCGACAAATGTATTCCATTACCGAGGCCAGATTCGCAAGCACGGCACCTTTCCACATCACAGCGCCATTGAGTGCGAGGCGGCCGCTGCCCCGCTGTTCAGTGGCAGCCATTGAGCGCGAGGCGGCCGCTGCCCCGCTGTTCAGTGGCAGCCATTGAGCGCGAGGCGACCGCTGCCCCGCTGTTCAGTGGCAGCCATTGAGCGCGAGGCGGCCGCTGCCCCGCTGTTCAGTGGCAGCCACGTACGCCATCCTGCCGTGTATTTGCCGGCCCGCATACGGCCGACGCCTTGGAGCCGGCACTCAACATTTGCCAGATGGACAGGGCGCCATTAGGCCGGCGTGGGCGGGAGGGGGGGGGGGGAGGGGGGGACGCTGGCCCACCGCGCGTCATGAGATTATTCATCGGCGCGTGCTAATGAGGTCATCGTCACGCGTCAGTCATGCGGTGAGGTGACGGAATGCGCAGCTGGTGAGATACCGAACGCAGGTCTTCCTGCAGCTCGTTGTAAGCACCGGTCGATTTGATAGGTTCCGACTTTAATGCATGCTTGAGGTTATTGTTGTCAAGTTCTGCGTACGTGCATACCGGCCTACATGGAATTCAGGGGTGGCGCCACAGAATTTTCAAAGACGACAGGCAAACCGAGAGGGTCTCCTAAACAGATTTCGCGGACTCTGAGCTCAACCCTCACTTAAAGTTCTGCTCTCGGATTTCAACCGTTGTTGTCAAAAGGGCGTAATAGTTAGGTTATGTAATTGAAAACAACTTTTCATTGGCATGGTGGCGACTGTTAGCTCTCCTTGAGTCATTGAGCCTCCTCTTGGGCCGGCTGGCCTTTCTGTTTTTTTATGTTGGGCCTCCTATGCATCTTTCCCATGGATCTTCTGAGGCCTTCTGTGAACTAATGGAGCCTGCTGGCGCTCATTGTCGGGCACATGCCTTTTGCGTGTCATAAGGGCCCTCCTTTGATTTTTTGGGGTGTTCTGGCTGGTCATCTGGGTCATCCTGTCGGCATGGTGCGGCCTCCTAAAATCATGCAGGGGAACACACATGTTTACTCCCTCCGCAAGTGAGAAGGGAGACGGGAGGCGGAAATGAATCAACGGAATCCACGAGCTAGCTGTTTGAGATCTTCAATATATTGATATATATACATATATATATATATATATATATATGCATTTATTTTGAGCCGCATATACATATATACATATATATATATATATATATATATATACAATATAAATATGCATATATGTACATTTACATTTATATATATATATATATATATATATATATATATATATATATATATATATATATATATATATATATCTGCATATATGGATGTGAGGTATGTCTTTTTTAGGTTTTCTCGAGACTGATCTTTTTTGTTTCCTATTCTGCTGCTTCTGGAGTTCCAGATATGGGCTACCGTAACAAATCGCGCCTTCAAAACTTTCAGAGAATTTTGTGATGATAATGCCTACGTAGATGTCCATACAATTTGTTTTGTAAACCTTATAATGGTACGCGTGCTTTCGCCCGGACTGTGCCAAATGCGCCATCCGAACGCGTCGTAAATGCATCCATTCGGCCCAGGCAATCTGCGTGTCAGTCCAGCCCATGATGACGTGTGATACCCAGTCCAAACGGCACGCACACCTCTCAGGTGCACCAAAACTTGTCCGAGATGACAACGTTAAAACACACTCCAGCATGGCCATGTCCGCACTGCTCGGCGAGGGGCATGCGCTCGCTCACCCTTACCGGCAGTGCAACCGTTCTTGGTCGAACTCTGCAGCTGGAGTCAGGAGGAGGGCGTCGGGGAAGCCACACAATCGGGTACGACACCGTCTTCAAGATCGTTCTCAGGCGGGGGCTGAACGGAGAAGGCTTGGTGACAACAGGCCCAGCCTTTTCGGGCGACACATTTGGAGCTTTTATCGCAGACTAACATCGGCAATTAATTTTCCATGCGACGACCACGCGCGAAATGTCCGTACATTGAAGCGTACTTCATCCGTTTTAGCGGGTTATCATTCCTAATTCCAGCCGTCAGTGATGTTACACAATAGATTGGTAGCCGGATGTGGAGAGTCATCCTTTATGTACAGACAGATAATAAATTTGGAGCACCTGTGGTGAACTCAGCCTTCTGGCTACGCGGTAGCAACTTTCCGCCACACTCTGGCCCGAGGAAAGGGAAATCGCTATCCGTTTCGACACTATCCGACATATAACACAAGGGACTTATTGGAGATTCCGGGTCAGAAGTGTTAATTTGTATGCAGTGACTGTCACTGTGCAAGTTGATGAAAGAGCCAGTTTCTCCAGCCTGCGTGTTGTCCGGAAACGTAACTTTTCCGACGTGAGTTGTCAGTTCCACTATTCTTCTGAACAGCGACGCTTTCATAGTGGTGACATGGGAGAAATTGTCTCAATACGTGCTCAGAAGAAGAATCATGCATATCCATCCTCTCATAGAACATACTTATCCTCAGGTCCGTTGGATGTGCTTAGCATGTGACCGCCCGGTGGTAGGATACTATAAGTTCAGCCACCTGCCAGAATGAATGCCCGATACAAAAAAATTAACAGGCCACGCCTACTTCCTCCCTAAAAGAGAGATCTGTAGCAATAAAACTCTTGTTCAGCGAAATGGAAATGCACCTTGAAAGCAAGCATCTTCCAACTTCGACAGCTATGAATCGCTATCTACCCACGGTCGCCGGATCTACCTACCAAGTATGTACCTACCAAATCCCAAATCAAGTCCCCGTGATTCGCGTGGCCCGCCAGCAGGTATGTGCAATAGTGAGCGCTAAAAATGCCCCGAAACGCCGCATATTAAGCCGTGAATTTTACAAGCTATTCCGTCAACCATAATTAACTATGGAACAGCCTTTAGCAAATAAAAAGGTAGGCCAAACTAAAGTGACTGGCATGATATAATGACGGCGACTTTATCGTGCACCCTGTGAGGCAAAGCAAATATGCATCCAAAACCAACTTGAGCTGAACAAGGCAAGACCAAAAAGGTTTCAAAATTATTAAATGCGTTGGAGGATGCACCAAAACTCCAAAACTCCAAAACTCCAAAATTCCAAAACTCCAAAACTCCAGGACATCGGCAAAGGACCAAAACTCGGCACTGAACGTGTAAAATGCCAGTAGAGGCAGAATAACTGGCAAAATGCAAATTTCAACATACTTTCATAATTCATTTGTGTCTGCGCACCGCACCATTCTGGAAAAGGGCTTCTGCCTATAGATGAAAACTCAGCTGATTCTGTGCGCACCCATTCTGAGCACGTAACTGACACTACGACAATGCCGCCAATGCAGCTGAGCTCCTTTTCACAGATATACGCAACGGGTAGGTGCAGGCAGCCGCAAGTTCAAAGCCGACATTTTTAAGCAGGCCTCTTCACCAATGCTGCCAATTCTCTACGAGCTTGTATATTTCAGTGACCTTTACTTGACCCTGAGGCCCATTTCTGAATTGAACAGTGTTGTAAAACCCACCGTGACATACAGACTGGCATTTAGCTGACATAAGGGAATGTAAATTCCCATTAGATTTTGATGAAGAATAAATAGAATGCTATCTATGGAAAAATACCGGCAAACTTTGTGCGTGGCAACGTTCATATTCACTTAAAAGCTTTGCGGTTGTGCTGGGAAACCCAACGTTTTGAAGCTGTGCTCAGGGTAAGATTTGTTCTCAACAGTCGATCATCAGCACCCGAATAAAAATTCACTCTGGAGCATGTCGCACGAAATGTGTTGATTCCATCTGTTCTCAACAGTCGATCATTAGCACCCGAATAAAAATTTACTTGAGCACGCCCTACGAAATATGTTGATTCCACTCCACCACACCCTTTTTGTCATATGGCTTGGCAGACGCTACCCCACCGAAGTGTATCGTGAATTGCCCCGGCGATGATGTGACGGATGGGGGATCGCTGGTGACTACCGCTGTTACTGGCCGCGCCTTGTCAGTTAATTGGCAGTCAAATGCCACCGCAGCCATGATTATGTGACAAGTTCACTTGCCGCTGCTGAGGGAATCTCGGTATTCTGTTATTTGGGTCATCCTGTGCTTTTTAAAGCTCCCGCAGAAAGCATTGACTGCAGAACTGTAGTCAATTCTTAATCCAATCCAGGTATTACCACGTGAACTCTGGCTCAACACTTACAGACTGGCCTATGATACGAAAAGGTTGGCAAGACAAAAACATTATGTACTTGCAGGACACTTTTTGGTACATGAACATGATATAGTAATTCGTGTAGGTGCTTAGTGTTCTACTAGTTAATGCAATTTTCCACGTTTCGTAGGCCCAGTATTCTCTCCTTGCCCATATGCATCGAGGGGCCTCAGCGTAGCATTGGGTGGGTGGGGGTGGGGGGGGGGGAGGGGGGGAAGTCAGCAATGAGGGGAGGCTCAGGCCGCCCCTTAAAAAACATACAGTGACGCTACTGCCCAGGGTGAGTTATGGCTGTGAGCAACTGTAGCGAACAAAGCATTGAACTTTACGAGTGGATGAGGTGCATGCAGGCAGCCGACGATGTTCAAGCCCCATCGAAATAGCCATCTCCATGGACCACGACCACCACTTTGACCACCACCAATCCGGGTCAGACTTCCTCCAGGCTGCGAGTCATGCATTACCATCGTCTTGAAAAGTCAATCCGGCATACTTTGGAGCAAGGCGGCCCTGCAGTAACCCAGTACGGCTTCCAGGCGAGCTATACTTAATGCGGGAACTTCGAGCTGCATGCATTTGCCGATCACCGCTGAAGTCTGGGAGCCCTGACAGCCATGCCATTAGCACAAGCCATTGTACTTCGGTCGTACAAAGTACCCGTATAACGGTCTCATTGGTGTCAACGGTAGCTATGGCAGCGCTTAACAAACCCTCCCTGCGATCAGGCAGTGAAGACGAAAACACGAAATTAACAGATGATTCGTTTCAGATGCTCATCCGACGTCTGCTTTGGAATTTGAATGGTCCCGTAAATCCGGCTGTGATGGAATATGCTACGGCAATTTGGAGATCCCTCAGTTCCACCTCGGCGGCGTGCAAGATCTAAACAAAATCACCCTGAAATACGATACTGGTACGTATTATGATATCCATCCAAAACGTATCCCTGCAGCCATATGCTGCAAATCCATGCCGACACGCGCGAATAATGAGATATCATTCATCCCATAGCTTTTTGAATGACACTGAATACTGAATTGAAACCCGTTAATTTGAACATGGCCCAGACCCTCGACTATGCATTGGGTCCTCCATCGCTGGCACCAAGAACCCGACGGGCCCCTCAGGACCTGAGAGAAGCACGTCACCCTTGGCTGCGTCCCTGAGCGCCATATGTGGCGTCAGATTTGAACGGCGTGAGGCAGGTGTTCGCCTTTAAACTGGTACAGCGAGCTATCCGTCCATGGTTCACTGATTTATAAATGGTTATGGAAGAGAGGGTAGACACAGCTGCTGGATCCCGACGAGCTTGAAGTTGTTGAAACGTGGATCATTGAGAGATAAATGCAGTTACAAATGAGGCTAGTTTACTTTTGTTGGGTGATAGGTGTGCTGTGATTCGAGCCTGTGCAGAGTTCGTGGGGTTCGTCCTGTTTGTTCGGTTGGTGTAGCCTCGCGCGAAAGCCGACACTGTTCAAAATTTATGCATGTAACCGAAGCGTACAGTGAACCTGCTGTTCCATGAGCATGGGTATAGATATTCCGTTTCGCAACAGCCTCGTACATCATTCGTACACTGCCGAACAAATCTTGATCCTTGCTTCGTTTGGTGCATCACGTCGCTCTCCGTTGTTCCCAGGCAATTTCAGCGCCTTGTCGGCTTCGTTTACGCTCGACCGTGAAAACGGCTACCACATTCTGCAAACATACGTCCCCACCATGCTCATGGTGTGCATGTCGTGGGTGTCTTTCTGGCTGGAGCAGACAGCCACACCGGCCAGGTAACTGTCACGGATGTCTTTCTGGCTGGAGCAGACAGCCACATCAGCCAGCTAACTGTCTGTCATGAGCGTCTTTCTGGCTGGAGCGGACAGCCACACCGGCCAGGTAACTGTCTGCCATTGGTGTTCCGGCTGGAGCAGACAGCCACGCCGGCCAGGTGACTATGTGCACTGCCACATTCCAGTATCAACGAGGCACGGAATCGACCCGCCGGCTTGTTGTGTATTAATAATGTGGTTTGAGTTGCCGCTGAAAAGGCAACAGAGGCCCACACATAACACATGCTTTTCTGTATCAATAGTTTAGCCGCAGGATGAAGCACTGCGTGGCAAGCAGCTGTACTGGATGACGAGGGAAGACAATTTGGCACAACGCTGACAGTTCCCGAGCGACGGAAAATGCAGTTACTGTTTAATTGCGCGTGGTCCAGCGCTCCTCACGCCCGTGTCACAGCCGCTGTTGTCGGCGGCTAACGATGACTTGGGTTTTTGCAGAGTAACCCTGGGAGTGACGACCTTGCTGACCCTGACCTCTCTGGCGGCGGGTGTTCGGAGCGAGTTGCCACCAGTCTCCTACCTCAAGGTGATGTTTTTGGTATCCGAGCATGCCTTCAACGCTACAATGCGCACATATACGAAACAAATCGGTTTCAAGCCATGACATACAGAATATCAATCGCGCAAAGCAATGCATGTCGGAATGGGTAACTATGTGTAAGTAATTGTAATACCGCGTTTAAGCAACTTAAACACGCGCCAGGGTGGCCGGTTGAATATCCTTCGCTCGGGTGGGGCTCAGTTTGACCACCTTGAAATCTGGAAATAGAGAGGGCTAGAGACACCAAATCCACAGGGTATAATTCCCCTTACTTGAACCCACTTGGATCAAAATTTGACGTTCCTAGATCATGGACGTCGGGTCAAATAAGGTAAAGTATGATCAAACTCCAAATTGATATCCGAAGTGCCCCAGACCTTCTCATGCAACCACCGTGAACCTAGATACCTGTTCTAAGCAAAAGGTCACTGGTGCTCATTAAGATCAGTGACCTTGTTTGACCTTTTGAAGGTCGAAGTGACCAAAATCATACAAGAGTGCATTGATTTTGCATTTGAATAAGTGTTAAGGTTTACGCTAGGCGGTATGTTCCTAAAAGCAAAATGTTGACCTGGGTCATTTCAGGTCAGTGACCTATTATGACCTTAAACAAGCTCATAGCTCAAGGTCATAAACAAGCTCATAATGCGATTCCTGCTATCAGCAAATTAAAAGTAAACACCAGAATCAATCCCACGCAGCAGCCTCTAGAGTAATCGGACAGGTTTATTTTTACTTCGGCCTGAGCTTCACACTCAGTGTCCCAGAACTGCTGACTTTGGGTGTAAAGCAACACGCTGCGTGGATGAATTTTTCACTCCTTTCCGCAAATTTTATGGAAATTTTTCCCTCCTGCCTGGCATTTTCTAATCGCACATACCAAACCCATATTTCCCTTTCTGAGGCTCTCAGATGTCATCCAAAACCGAACTCACTTGAAACCACCAACTATAAACAATGCTCCAAAGAACCTGGACACCTTAAGCTATGTCCAGTCTAAGGCTATGTCCTGCCTCACTTTCATCTGGACCATGTCGAATGTATGCACAGAGCAAGGGCGCCAAATACCTCCAAGCCCAAGAACCCCAGCGAGTCCAGCCGCTTGCACGCGCTAAGTTTGGTTTGTTTACAAAATGAATCACAATCGGGACCTGTGTGCCAAATGCAAGGTTTTCACGTATCCCCTTCTTTGTCTCACCACCACACCACGAAAGCAGAGCCTGGCGCAAAGACCAGCAAGGCCTGGTAGAGCACTTTATTCCATGTATTTTTCCCGAGAGAACTTGACCACTAAATTGCATCGCTGCCGAAATGCAGGAGTGAAAAATTCAAGACATGTCTTCTAAATTAAATTTACAAGTGCATATCACCATTTGAGCGCTCATGCCAACAGATTTTAAGTCAAGTCAGCTGATGACAAAATTTTGCTGAAAAGTTATTAGTCATATATATATATATATATATATATATATATATATATATATATTTAACTACCTTTGTTTTTCTTGGTATCATACGAGTGTGATACCACCTAATTCTTCCTCCCTTTTCGATTGTCTTTAGGGGTACCATCTGTTGCTTACAATGTTGACCAATTTTTCTGCAAGATGCTCCAGCCGCAAATTTTCACATATTTCGTACACAAATTGGATTAATTCGCCAGCCGCCCAAACATGTTTGATATGTACCCAAGAGTAAACAACTCGCAGGGAATGAAGGAGACAATCTGGAGCACGGCACTTTTTTGAAGCACCCGTTATTGCCCTTGACATGGGTTGACCATGCCAAGCAAAATGAGTTATTCAGAGTAATTTAAAGCGTTTTGATTTGTGTGTTGAGAACTTTGTCTGATGTCAACAACCATACACAAATAAGCTGATTAAAAACGCAAGTTCAAACCAGCCAAAAATCAGCTTTATAATGTTTTTATCGCAAGTGCTGCTGTCAACAGATAGGTGACTTGAGATTATGTTCAACATATGACTACTCTAAGTTGGGTTAAGTTGGTTAAGTGCATAACAAGTGGCAATAAGAGTTGTGCAAGAATCAGTAACTCACAACTGCTGCTGTGATACAAACAGGTTAGACAGGATGAGATGAAGTAAAGCTTCTTTAGGTTAAGCATAGCTAGGCTACTTGCATGGAGATAAGTATTGGTATTTTGTAAGAAACAGTGACAAAATATTTGTTTTCCCTGACCTCATCTTAACAGAAGCCAGGGATATGTCTAATATGTTTGACTTGGTGATGGGCTGATATGTAAGAGTCCGAGTTTTTTGTTTGAGTATTTTATGCTTGTTGAATTTTCTGTTGTTATTTTGTTATTGAATTCCCTTGCTTTGTTTTGTGTTAAAAGTGTTGTGGAAGGGAAGTGCAAAGTGCAGCATCAAATTATTGGTGTTAATAATTTTTATGCTCATTACACTGTCATGAAGTTACTATGCTTCAATGTATTCTGTTTCACTTCAATGACCTGAGATGTTAAAAAACAGAACAGTTTTGTCAGGTTTATGATATTACGCCCATGCCAACTTGACATATATGTCTATTTGCTGAAGCATCAGTCATGAGCTCAAAGCTCCATCTTTTATGAATCGATTTTTTCACTCCCGCACGGTCTTTTTGCGATGAAATCTTTCACTCCCATCCGAGTTCAAAACCGATTCTAACTCACTGTTCATACTTGATCCTAGGTCAACGGAACTGAATAATTTGATTGTTGTGTTGCCTAAAAAGCTATCCCAGAGATGTATGGCTTCGTATAATACTCCGTTGCTGCATCATGTTGAACGATTCCCTGGAAATTGTCTGCTTGATACCAGATGACCCAGTATTTATTTACCTGCAGTTATCCAAAAGTTGGTGTAACTTCCGTACGGAGATCATTCTGCAAAAAGTTTCGGGGAGAGGTAAACTGACTCTTCGTGTATTCATGGCTTTTTATGTCTAAGCTATTAATTTGATGCCATGCATATTTGACAAAAGCTGGTATGAAGTTCCATGCCATGCGATATGCTTTTTCTGGCTCATATGCACATTGCCAGGAGGAGGGTGAGTGCCTATGCCGCGCCGTTCACGGAAGTGGTAGCAGCGACTCTATGGCGATGCGCAACACAATTTGTATTAGAAGTGGGTTTGATCCCGCCCACTTTCAAGAAATGTCCACGCGTTTGTTCTGAGTAACAGCAAACAGATATCGCGGTTTCGAGCGAGATCGTTGTTCAGGGCAATGACTTATTTCAAAGAAACTCCTGTTCTGATTAGCGAATGTATACTATGCAAGGGTGCAGGCTTGCTTGCTGATGCTGCTGTCAAGACCTGCTTTTGATAAAGTGCATCGCAGCATTACACTTTCTAGGCCAGAAGCATGGAGCCAAGCCCTTAATTTTCGTAGGTCGCTCACCTCGCCGTCTGCTTCTCAGTGTCCGTGGTTGTTCATTCCCCATGAGCAGCTCGTCTGATAATGCTCTCCCTGCAGGCCATCGACGTCTGGATCGGCACATGCATGATCTTCGTGTTCGGCGCACTGCTGGAGTTCGTGCTGGTGCACTATTTGGCTAAGAAGCGCAAGTTCCAGGGCGATCGCCGCAAGAGCGTCAAGGAGATGTTCTTCTCGAAGGAGGAGGGCGGACCAGCCGAGCCACAGGGGCCCAGCAGCAAGAAGCAGACGCACATCATGCAGGCCAAAGTGGTGGATCGGGTGTGCCGGGTGGTCATGCCGCTTGCCTTCCTCACCTTCAACATCATCTACTGGAGCGTGTATGGCCTGGGCTAGATGGCGCTCTCAGCCGGTGTGTTGGACAGACTCGGTGGTCGCTGTTCAGCGCGGGATAACCCTTGCTCAGGACAGTCTCAAATGGAGCCGGTGTAGTTGTTGTGTGCCGATGTGTGACTACTAAAACCCATTGTACATAGAAAGCCATTAAATGGCTGGTCTATCCCGAGCTAATTCGGATGTTTTCAAATCATGTCCTTAGGGCCGTTTACCAGCCAGTCCATCCTCGCCGCGATGTCTTGCGCATTTGCTACGTTCCCCGAGAAACCCCAGGGTAGGGGGACCACCACTTCGAACATTTTGTTCAAAATTTAAAACGCTTAGTTATCAGGTCAAAGTTGAGGTGTGTGAGTTTTGGACCCATAAAGCACTGGATCAGAGTTTAGACCTTATTTAACTTCGTGTGCAAGTTTTGGACCCATAAAGCACTGGATCAGAGTTTAGGCGTTATTTAACTCACTGCCTTCCACTGCAGACATACACTAATTGGCTTGTTAAGGCTGAATAAATTATCGCAAGAACTTAAAATATTATAACAATGTATTCAGAATAGAACACAGGATTCAAGGATGACAAGTTTATCCGTTCGGTCAGTTTATGACCTCATGGCCTCGTGATGTCTTCTTACATATAGATGCTAACTTACATTCGATTTTGCGCCTTCTTTGGCGATGCATGTCCCATTTTACTGGCCACACCATTCCCAACCGTCAATTGTGGTGCACGTTCGCTTAAATTCCGTTACCAGATACGAGTTATGGGGCAGATCCATGTGAATGTCAAATATGGTGAATGCATTGTGTCACTGCAGGATAGCCTATATGAGTATGGAGAAAAAGCTCTCTTTCTACTCAGCTTTGCAACTGTATGGAGCTCTTGTGATGCCAGCTTCGACTTCCATAGCCTTATTCTTTCAGATAACAGGACAAGTTGACGTTGAGCGTTAGACTCCTGACTGACCTAATCCCTTATGCGTGACTTATGACCGAAACTGCCACGGGTGCGAGAAATGCATCACGCGTCAGCGAGCTTCAATATCTTCTTCAGGGGGTGTTGCAGACCGACGCCATCTCTCTTCTCTGATAATAGACAGACTTGTGTATGCGCATCGCTTTGGTGCGCGGCGTATCTGGCAGCCACGCTGGCAGGCCCGCTTTGGTGCGTGACACATCTGGCAGCCACGCTGGCAGGCCCGCTTTGGTGCGTGACGCATCTGGTAGCCACGCTGGCAGGCTCACTTTGGTGCGTGACGCATCTGGCAGCTACGCTGGCAGGCCCGCTTTGGTGCGTGACGCATCTGGCAGCCACGCTGGCAGGCCCGCTTCGGTGCGTGACGCATCTGGCAGTCACGCTGGCAGGCCCGCTTTGGTGCGTGACGCATCTGGCAGCCACGCTGGCAGGCCCGCTTCGGTGCGTGACGCATCTGGCAGCCACGCTGGCAGGCCCGCTTGGCTCCGTTGTTGTCTGTTTTACGGTTCCCTGCCGAATATGCCGGGTGACAAAAGAACGAAGCGTGGTGTATTGTTGGACGCGTGTGTAATGGGATGGAATGGGAAGAATCATTTGAAAAGATTGAGGTGTTTTGCCAACCGGAACTTGGATGAGTCGCTGCAAAATTGAGGTGAACGGATCGGTGTACGGTGATAAGTACGACCGCCTCTTTCACAGGCAATGTGTCGGTTGCTGTTTACCAGCGCAGACGGGATTCGTTCAGGGCCTAACCTGCTGCCATGGACCCCGCACTAACTTCAAAAAAGACACGCTCAGAAGGAGTCCTATAAGCCATCCATTGACTGCGCCCCAACGGCTTTACAAGTCGATCTCCGAACATCGGTGTTACACCGCGCGTCTCAAAGCCAGAACGTCACCACCGTCTCCAAAAGTGCTGCTTATTGGCAACTTTCTGAAGTGAATCGTTTACAGACGGTCTGTAAGCACATTGCACAAATTGGTCTGTTAGGCGAGTTGTTTATCGTGTTTGTGCACGATGAAATAGCGTGGTCACTGTTTTAATAACAGTTGAAAGGATAAAACATAAATATAGGTAAGGCGATAACCAAAGCCAATGTATGAGCAATACTATTACAGCTCTCCGCTATCGTCTTCCTCGCCTGCTAGACCGCACAGCCCGACCACACGCTTGTTGCTGGGCACCTCCGATCACATCCGCTTCCAGGGGTGTGCTACCGTTCTGGTACCCGTCCGCCGCCGCTGCCAGTCCGGTCACCTCACCGTGACCGGGTTAGCTGGCTGTGGTCAGGGCCGCGGCTCACAAGGTCGGAGAGCCAGGTGCTCCCGATTTCAGTATTCTTTACCCGATAGAAAACTGGCACCCGGTAATGGAATAAGATCACACAGAGCAAATCACTAGTGTATTGCTGGTAGGAACGAGTAGAAATGTTAGCATGGGTAAATGAAGCCCTTCGACGCGAACCCATCTGAGGAGCACGACATTGCACGAAGTGTCCAAACTGCGCCAGCATGTACCTCGGCCTCGATCGCATAAGGAGGACCAGCAGCCGGCGTTCTGCTTGCCGTTACCCCTGAGAGGGGCACGCACCGTTAGGCCGAAACTCGTCCCCGCTTGTCCCGCGATCCCTTGGAAACAGGCAGCCGGCACAACTCGCCGCTGAGGCAGGTGGGCCAGCGTTCCGCCGGGAGTGAGGACGGAGCCGCCCCTCGGCAGGAGACGGACCCACAAGTGGTACCACCGGCGTGGTGACCGTCACCGTCTGCCGACGCACTAACGGTACTGCCACGGTGTTCACCGGCACTACAAGTGGTACCACCGGCGTGGTGACCGTCACCGTCGGCCGACGCACTAACGGTACTGCCACGGTGGTCACCGGCACTATCGGCGGACCCGTGCACGACGCGTCGGTGACACAGATGCCGTCGGTGACTCCGCGCTCATGATGTCAATGCCGCGCCGTAGCGGCCCCGTGAAGACGACACGTGTCTGCTTTTCCTCGTGGGTCGATCTTAGCGCCTTCCGAGGTTACCGCCAACCCTCGCTTGGTGTCTCTGTCTTTCGTGATCAGCCAGACCGCGGCGCTACCCTTTTGCGTGCCTGATCGCCTTATCTTCTGCTATCATCTGGCTAAATGCCGCTGCATACTGTGGGCCTCCTAGGCCCAGGTGTCGCCGTCTCTAGCCAGGATAAAGGCTGAATCCTTTTCCCACGGTGCATCTCAAGTCGAAACTCCGACGACCAGGTGTAGCGTCCTTGAAGGTGATTTTCCCGATGGCTGCCTTGTCTCACCGGAGTCGTCGCTGCTACCCACAAACGGCACCACCAGGGTAGTGGCCGCCACCGTCGGTCGACCCACCAGTGGTACCATCAGCGTGGTGGCCGCCACCGTCGGCCGACCCAAGAGTGATACCATCAGCGTGATGGCTACCACCGTCGGCCGGCCCAAGAGTGATACCATCGGCGTGATGGCTACCACCGTCGGCCGGCCCAAGAGTGATACCATCGGCGTTAATGGATTACAATCGTTAGTGCGTCCGCCGCCACCGTCGGCCGACGCACTAACGATACTACCGTCGCGGCCACCGGCACTATCGGCGGACCCCTGTATGACACGTCGGTGACACAGACATCTCCCCGCGGTCATGATGCCGTCCTCATCTCCGCTCCTTGCTCGGTTTCCTCCGGAGGCTTGTCAAGTGATTATTTCTACTTAGGGCCAGCGGCTCCTGCCCGGACATCCATGGCGCTTGTCCAGTCCGCCAGTGGTGATCCTGGGTTCAACGAATAACCAAACGAATCCTCTGGGTCGGCGATGGCCAGCTTGGCGTGGCGTGGGGAGGTAGGACCGATGAAGCTGGTGTAGTAGGTTGCGGCTTAGGTTATCCATTCCGCTGTAGCAGCCACCGGCTGTTCCCTCAGCTGCTGTGCTTTTTGAAGCAATGTCGCGATCTCCACGTCACAATAAGCCATCTGAAACTGAAATCAGGACAGCATTTCTCAACAAAACATCAACTCCGAAAGAACGATTCTCTTAGAGTGGCGGAATTTGTGGAGTCTTAACGACACGTATCCAGTATTCTGACAGATGATGGTAATATAACAAGGGAAATAGCTCGGCTATCGTATAAATGTGCTGCTGTTTCTTTTCACATGTGCATTATGCCTTCGAAATGCAAACTTTTCCAGATGTCTTGTTCTTCTTTTTACTGGGTATACATTCGGTTTAAATGCACGCGTGATATACTCGGATTACGTCAAGTATTTTTCGCATCCCCGATAAATTGATTTGCAAATCAAATTGTATAGTAAAGGTGGTTCATGCGCGGCATGGGAACGACAAGATACGGTGAGTGTAGATATCTTTGGTTGCCGTTTTTATGATCGCTTGATGTGTTTCCAAAATACAGTTGCGCTGTCACCCAAACGGTTGGAATTTTTCTACTGATCTGTGTTGTGTGGATAGGTATGGCATATGCATATTCGAAATACGTTGATGTGTGGATACCGGTCTGTATCGGTTAGTGGTTCGCTTTGTACATATGTGCATGCTCCCGTTTGTATGCATCCATGAACCATGGTGTCGCTCAAATGTTTACTCTCCCACAAGACGCGTTTGAAATAAAGGAATTCCATCATGTTGTTGTGTGTACTATGATCCCAGGTAAGTGTGGTACCCAAAACATTATTGTCTTGTTTCTATAGCATTCACTTTTGGCTCCAAATGCCCAGAAGGATGAACGAATAAAGTAACACTATCAAGTTAAATCCAAATGAAGCAGGGGAATAAAATGAGTAAATTTAGTAAAGTAAGTGCCCTTTCCAAGGCTAGGCTGATTATCAACTAGTATATAATAGTAGTGAATGCGTAAAAACAAAAAGTGGGAAGCAGACGGATCATAGGAAATAACGTAAAAAACTAATAGAAGTCTCGTGATGCAATATGCATGGCCAATCAGCGATCAGGAGTAGACACCTGCGTATTGATATCTCTGGTACGGCAGATGTCATTCTTAATGTGATAAGGTGCATAGGAGTTTATTACAGTGACAAATAATACAAAGAAGCATCGTGGAGAGGAAATGAATAACCGCCTGAAGCTGCTGTCAAATACAACACAATAACTAACTAACTACAAAGTTAAGTGCGCATGGTAAGGCACCTGCCTGATATGTACCAGCCAAAAGAGCAATCCTAAGTGATTGCTCCTCATTGCAAGTGACTGTATGATGGCGCAGGCATCAGGAGGAAGAGTAAAACAATCTCAACCCTCGCCCTATGAAGGCAGCCTCAGACCCCTTTCCCCGCCGCCGCTCTCAAGGATTTACGAGCTAAACTACTCTGAGAGGTTCGTAGCACGATGCTGCAGTTTCGGGTAGTAGAGTTTATATCATTTTTACCAGGGACGGCAGTGCAGTGGTGGCCATGGGGGAGGGGGCGTTTCCCCACATCTCTAGGGACGCAGAGGGCTGTCCACACAGCATCAGAAAGACACGTTATTGTTGGGCGCAATTATATCCATACCGGCGTCCCCGTGAAGCGAGTAAAGCACATTTGGTATATAACACTGAGCGTACTTGAAACGACTGTTGCAATGCAGTGGAAATGGCAAACAGAAGACACTACGCGCAAAATTTTGCAACGCTTCTCGCACTATGACCGCCTGAGCGTGCGCTCACCACTTCGGTTTCTCAAAGCCTTTTCCACCCTTTCGACAGCTGTTCTGCGGGGATGGAGCGTCTGTTCTTGCGGAGACTTTAACACGCGCTCGGGTGAGGTCAGTTTGACCACTCTTCCCGCGAAGGTAATTGCGGAATGGTTTCCGAACGGCGTGGCTTAGCCGCTCCAGGGAATCGTTCAATCAGATGCCACAACAGAGCGTTAGACGAAGCCATACATCTCTGAGATACTTTCTCAGGCAATGCAACGATTGAATGAGCATATTCCATTAACCTAATGTCAGGTATGAAGGTCAGACCGAGATAAATACCAATCTGTTTTATTACTCTGAGGCTTGCTGTGTGGGATCGTTTCTGTTGCTTATTTCAACTTTATTGAAAACAGGAACCGCAGTATACATCTCCCATGGACTTTTTAACGGCCAGAATAGGGCACTAACCTAAATTGACCCAGGTCAACGTTTGTTTTTAGAAGCATATTGCTCAGCGTAATCTTTGTCGGTCATTAAAATGCAAAGCTCAAAGCAGTTTTGTATCATTCTTATCAC